CCCCAACCCCACACCCAACCCCAACCCCAAACCCAACCCCATCCCCAACCCCAACCCCAACCCCAACCCCAAACCCAAAACCCAATTGTAAGTGACATTCAAAAAGGACCAAGTAATTAAATAGTTATCACATAATAAATATAAGCATGCATGAAGATTGATAATGATACTTCATGCTTGAGGAAACCCTCTAAAATTTGTTTATTGCTGCAGTATTTCATCCAAAACACTACAGCTCAATTGAAAGAGTAGAATAGAAATTTCTTGATGATTTTGATTTACTCAAGAAAGAAGTATTATAGATTACCAAAAATTAATAAAAGACGAATTGTAAGAAACAATATGAATAAGTAGAAGAAGTAGTAGAAAGTCAAATAGATAAATTAGAAGAATACATTAATATTACTTATAATTAAAATATACATATTATCAAATTATATCTAGAATTAAAATTAAATGCTGCTTTGCCCACCTAATTTAAGTATAAGAGAATTTCAAAATAGGGCATTTTGAGAACCAGAAATCAATTAGTATCAAATATATCATATGCTAAAGCGCTATAATTGTATTAATGATATTACAATTCATATATTTAATACTCATATTCAATAATATTAATGAAATGTATGAAGAATACTCACTTGTTGATAATTTAGATTGTTTTGAGAAATATGGAATAGATCTATATAATTTAAAGATATATAATGTGTTAGTATTTGAATGTTATATACCAGTACTTACATATTTCATTTTAACTTTGTTTTGTTGTTAATTATGTTATGTTGATAAAAAGTAATTTAATTTAATAATAAATAGACTCACAGGATATAGAAATAGATTGATTAAGCAATCATTCAAATTAAGACTCTTTATTAAAATAAGCTTTGAATTGATAATTGCTTTAATTCTGATTTTATAGTTTATAGAGGTAATAAATGTTAATTAATCAATTGTCGATGTTTGTTATTCTAATTAATTACTATATATATTTGATGTTAAGTTATTTTATCCTTGCATTATTAATTTAATGGTATTTTGACTTTTAGTTGCATTTGATGATACATGTTATTTTATAATTGTATGTTACACTAATGACCTTTATTGGGGATATGATTGTAAGATCATAAATTTATTATAAATATAAAAAATCTAAAAATAAAATACATGATAAGGTTGATTTGAGCTAAAGATAAAGCTTGAATTGTATTATCATTTTAAGTTTCATCATATCTTTCTCTAAAAAAAAAAGAGTGGATTAGATTATATAGGAATCTAGTTTAAAAATTATTTGCAATCAATTTAAATCTTTAAGATTGATGTATTAAATAAATAGTAGATTTTGCATTATGTTATTAAATTGTAACTAAATTTAGATAAACTCTAAATATTATTATTATGTATCTGCTGGAAAAAATGTTTTTAGTCTTTATAAATTTTGAAGAATTATCTTTTATAATTATCAACAAACTTAATATATCGTTATTTATCGTTTATCTCAGATTTATTGAAAAATCTTAAATGATGCTGGTCTAAATTGTTAATTGTTAAAATTATAATATTTGTTTAGCAAATTTAGCATATTTTTTCACTTTAATTAAGTTACATTATCGGTTGATTACTTGATTTGGAGAATAAAAATAGAAAAATATCCCCTAATTTTAAACTTTTGACTCGTTGATCCCGAATATCGTTCTTTGTATTAAGTTCTAAAGATTTTTATACTTATTTGCTTCTTTTTCTTTGAATTAAGTAATTTTATTTATTATTAGGCTAAGTTTTTGGAATTCTTTATTTTTGTTTTACTTATCTTAGTTATGAATTTTGCTAAATTTTATAATTACACATTTATATTATAGCTTCTATTTTAGCTAATTAAAAATATAAAGATAACGATAACAAAAGTATTTGAATGTATCTAAATTATATTGAATCCTAATATATAATTAAATGAAAGTAGATAAACTTTTTATAAATAAGATATAGATATATCCTATTAATGATGAAAAAAGATTTATCTCACTTAATCTATTATCAAAAGAAATATTTCTACCTATGTCATTTCTATTTATGACAATAAGGAATAAAACAATAAAAATAGAGATGATCATTTTTCAAATAAGAGGAGTATAAAATTGAAAATAATATAAACAATTATTATATTAAGTTGAAATTTATGATAATATCAGTTAATTATCTAAGTAAAAAGAATATGAAATAGATAAGAAATCCTTGTCTTGGATTAAATCAAGATTATTTTATAATATTGTAAAACAATCAAATTACATGATTTTCTAATTTGTCATGCGTTCTTTTTAAAACTAATATTTCAATATGATGAGCGTATACTTTCTCCGATTAAGTAGATAAGTATTATAGTTATAAATCCAATCAAATTTAATTTAAAATTAAATCCATAGTTGCTATTTTTAATATATACTAATTACTTTTTTCTTTCGAATACGATAATTTACAGTTTTAATTCTATCTATATCTTACAATATCTAAAAGCTAGAAAAGCCTAATATAATAATATTTTTTTTGGATATTTATACAATATTAAAAATTTATACAATTTAATTAATATTTTTAATAGAAATTGAAAATGTAGATCGAATGTACGTAGGCTGACCATCGAAATTAATAAATAATGGGATGTTGCATAGATAGTTCATGCACATATTAAAGACCATATTGCAATTCTTGTTTGCCTCATCATGGTCAACATCTTTAAAAGTTAACATCTTTTGAAATTTTAATTGAATGGGTCTAAAAAAGAATCGTTAATGCTCAAAATATTTAAAAGAATGTTTAAGAGTCTAAATCATCTCTTGATAATCTTCTTAACAAGTTGATTCCATATTTTAATTTTAATATACAATAATTTTCAGAATTAGGACTTTCTTAGATTGATAACATGATAAAAGGTTTTGGTTAATTGGAAATATGTGAGGAAATACTATTTAAGTAACTCAAATAATAAATTGAATAAATCTAATAGATTATAGATTAAATATTAAAAAACATAAAGTGTTAGATAACTTAGAAGGAAAATAATTAGTTACTTGATAATTCTGAAAGAGAAATAATAATAATAAAATTGCCAGAACACAAAAATATCTTTGAAGGAAATGAAAATCAATTCACCTTTGAACTCATGAATGAAAACACAATTAAGGAAGTTGATAGATGTGACGCTATTGCTTTTAATAAAGATTAATCAATAGTTTTAGCTGGATGTGGTAAGGATATTAAAATATTTGAACATTAATAAGGGAAATTAAATCAAATTTAATTGCTAAGTGAACATAAAAAAAATATTTCAACTTTAAATTTTATGAAAATGAATAATAATTTTATATCTGGAAGTAGAGATAATTAAATTATAATATGGTAGGTAATCGGACATAATAAATGGAATTGTTAATAAATATTAAATGGACATACAAGTTGGATATTTTGTTTATTATTAAATAATACAGATGATTTAATAATAACAGGTAGTTTTGATAAAACTATTAAATTTTGGATCAAATAAGATTAATGGTTGTGTTAATAAACTATTACTGATCATACTAGTAGTGTATATTCATTAAGTTTAAATGAATAGTAAAATAAATTAATATCCTGCTCATTTGATTCATACATATTAGTAATAGAATAGAATAAGATGGATAAATAGTGGAGCGTTTCATAAAAGATTAAAGTTGATTAATTTGGATATCGATTATGTTTTATAAATGATAATCAATTTGCATTCCAACCTAAATGTAAAGAATAATTACATGTATATGAATTGGATCCGAATAATAAATAATATAGAAAGACTAAAGAAATTTCTGTAAAGTGTGGTTCTAGTAATTGTGATTGTTTTTTTCCATAATAATATTTAAAGTCAAAATGTATGCTGGTGAATAAGAATGGTAAAAATTTGAATATAATATAAATGAAATAAAATGGTGACTTTGTAGTTTAATAATCCCTTGAATTTGGTAATTAAAATCTTTATGGATAATTAAGTGATGACGGAGAGTATTTGATCACTTGGGATGATAAATCTAAGGAGATCTAAATAAGAAAGTATAAATAATTATGAATGTCATAATATGAAAAATATCATAATATTACATATATTTAATTGTAAATTATATAATTTTGAATATCATAAAAATGCTGTTGGAGTTTTTAAACTCAGATTGGCATAAATTTTATATAAAAAGATAATTTTAAAATCCACTCATGATTCAAATGATTAGCAATTGGATTGACTTCGCACAATTTAGTTAAAGTTTTCATCCGCATTATCAATACTGATTTTCAGTTTAAGCTTAAATCTTTTTAAATAGAATAAAGATCAATTAGAAATTTTACTTTACAATATTATTAGAGAAATTTATATTTTTTAAGCTATCCTGCTATAGCATATTATAAAATTTCAAATGAAAATTAAATAAATTCTTTTAATATATGAATAGGTGTAAAAAAATTTATTTTAAATTAATAGTTATTCAGAGCAATTTTATACTCAATAAATATTTAAATAATTGATTCGATATAACCGAATTTATAAATTGAGATTAAAATTACATAAAAGTATTAAAGGTCTAAATAAACTCTTAATTCGATCATTAGCAGATTTATTTGGTTATTTCAAAATAATCTATGATGTCAAAATTCTTAACATTTGAAAAGTTTAATCGATAATTATTATTATTATGCTATTTAACTATATCTACTATGAATCACTAAAAAAAATATAAAAAATAGGTAAATATTTAATTATAATATTTATTGTTTTCCTCTTTCCTTTTTAAAATATTGTTGTGAGAGTCCTCAGGTAAACTATTAATTTATGTACTTCCAAAACTTCTTTTATATTTAGAGTCTTACTCTAGAATCTATTTTGTATCAAAAAAATAAAAAATACAACCCAACTATTGACATTTGATGTAAAGGTTAGTTGAGTTTAACAAACCCTAACTTAGTTATCTTTCTTAAGTATCTAGGCTCTACCTTAGTTACCAATACTTATTGAGTTATAAAATATATTTCTATAAAAATTATCTTAATAGAATTACGATTCTCGTTGGAGATATAATAAAAGATTATTTCTTTCATGAATATTATTATATTAATGGATCAGCATTAATTAATATTGAATAATAAAGATGGTTAAGAATTACTAGAACCTATTTTTTAAGAGATATTAGATGAAATACTTAGAGAAGAGGAAGATATTTAAAATGAATTAGATCCTATACTTGAAATTTTAGATCTTGAAGATAAACTCACTACATTGACATATATAAGAAAAATATTTCCTAATTTTTCATTTTGGAAAGCTTAAAAATATTAATTTGAAGAATTTTCAGAAAATTAAGATTATCATACAATTGTGTATAAAGTAATGAAAAATAATAAAATGGATTAAACTAATTTCATCAATCTTCTTTAAAACAAAGAATTTTGTAATCAAAATAATATTCCTGAATGCCTTTAGAACAAAGAAATTTTAGGAATAATCTAGAAATTATAAGATAAATTATTTTCATTATTTGAATTGAATGAATTGATTCTTTCTTAAAAGCAATATTCTCAAGATATGATCAAATATCTTCTGTAATTGTTATATATGTAAAATAATCTTACAGAGATAGAATAAAATTAATTAGAATAAACTATTGGAAATCTTTTAAGTCCTAAAATATTCGAATTTTAAGAATTCACAGAATCGGTTCTAAAAGATAATACTTAATATGTTACTTTAGTTATATAAAATATTTAATTACAAAATAAAAACTAAGAAGATAGTATTAAAGATGAAAAATTAAATCAAAAGCAATATTTATATTTAAAATTGATGAGTTAATAAAAAGTAAGAAAATCTATTATTGATCTGAATAAAGATTTATGCGATTTGTTGTAAATGAATATAAATTAATTTTAGTAAAAAGAAACAATATATTAGATGTTACAATATAAAATTGATTATTTAGCTTTTAAAAATTTAAGTTTATATGAGATATGTTACTTTTAAATTTTATTTTATTTTTGGATTTAATATTTTAACAAGCTAAACTTATAAAATGAAATTAAATAGTTAGAAGAAGATTTGAAAAAAGTTAGACAAGATAGATAGTAAGCAACAATAAATAGATATTTAAATAAATTTAAGAAATTAACAAATGATGAACTTCATCTATTTATTATTCATTAATTAATTTACTTTGATCCTATGATTTGTATAAATAAATAAAAGTTCGATGTATTTAAAGCTAAATAAGATGATGAATTAAAAATTGCGAAATAATATGTAAGTTAAAGTGCAAAAACACTCTTAGAAAGCAATTAATAATATTTCTCTGTCACTTTATCAGCAATTTAAAATCTTTCAATAAGCAATATTCTTAATCTCATCTAAACAAATACTGAATCTTATTTTTATCATTTTCTATTTTTTTTTAAGAAAATAGATTATTAAAAATAGTATAACTTATTGAAAAATTTGTTTAGAGAGGAAAAGTAGACTTAGATAGTTTTATAAAATTTAATTAAGTAGGGTTCTTTTTTAAAAGTAAATGAAATAATTGTATTGTTAAATTTAATTGGAAAGTAAAATTAAATAGAAGAAAATAAATTATACAAATATAGAATATCTTATTACATATTCAAAAATTTTAAACTAATAGAACAAATAGGATATATTGATTCAATTATAAATTATAAATAATCTTAAACTAACTTAACTTAAACTTTAGACCTTTTGGATAATGTAAGTTTATAAGAACTGAAGGCTATTAAATTGTTGAATTGTAATGAAAATTTAAAATAAATTTGCTCTGATTTTTTAGATATTTATTTAACATCGTAGCATGAAAACAAAAAATTATTCAATACACTTTTAAAAATAATACCAATAGTTAATCCTGGAGAAATTTAAAGTTTAAGAATATTTTAAATAATGTTAAAGATATTAAGGCCATAATCCCCAAAGATTAAAAAGATAGTTCCAAGAATAAAATTAAGATCTATAAATTAAAGATTGTTGGAATCAATTATGTAATTTAATAGTAGCTAAATTTACATGCCTACTTTAAAAACTTTTATACATACATTATACATATTATTTTTATTGTTTAAAAAATGTAACGAAAAATAATTAGATTATTTATTAACAAATTTAAATTTAATAATTCGAAATAAATCTTATGATTACGCTCTCATTCGCCAAGAAATGTCTTATAAAACACCAATTTAATTAATACTAAAAATGCTTTTAATTTAATTTATGTACTTATAAAATAATGCTGTTACATTTGATGAATATTTTATACATAATTAATCTTTAAAATAAGATAAATTGTGTGAAAATTTATATTATTTAGATTCATAACTTTATGAAAGATGGTTAAGTCCAATAAATTATTATAATGAATTTCGATTAACTCCAAGCTATTTTTCAAAATAGAAATAATAGTAATTAATTCTAAAAGAAACAAAAATTAGTTTATATGATTTTAGTATTTCTTTTTCAGTAATGACAAATTATGAATAGGTTGAACTAATCAAAAGTTGGGTATAAAGTATGAATGATTAATAAAAATTTAAATAGTTAATTCCTTTCTTTTTTAATATAATTAAGAGGGGGGAGAATCCAAAGAAGTTTATATAATTAATTAATAAAGAATTAGAATTAAACTAATCTTTATTTAAAAATGGATTGAATATGAAAGCTTTGTTTTAAATTTTTTACAATAACTCAGACTATGAATTACAAGTGATGCTTTTAAAATTTTAATGCTAAAATTATCCAGTTCCATTAATCTTTTAAAATTAAGATTTAAGTAATATAAAAAATAAAGAAGAAAATTATCTGCTTAATGAAAAATTGTATTATATTTTTCCAGAATGTTTTCCCATTATAAATATTTCTTTAAGTGAAAATTAAACAACAATAGGAAAAACAGAATTAATCAACAAAATCTTTTATGAAATGGATGAATTTGAAACGTTAGACACGTGTGAATTAAATAGAAATACAATAGACATTATGTTTGATTTTAGTTTTTGTGGCTCTAGATAATTTTGCATAGCAGATACTCATGGATTTATTCCCATTTCTATTCTAAGTAAATTAGTTCCATTGTTTAAACTTTGGATTATTTAACTAGATTCAGAAAAAGAATTGTTGGATACACTAAATAAAATATATGAACTCTTTTATCCTTTTTAAAAATAAAAAATTCCAGAAATTTGTTTGGTTATTAGAAATTCAATAGAAAATACTCGAGAAAATTTTATAAATAATTGGAAGGAGAAAACGAAAGTCAGTTTAAAATTGAATAGCAAATAGTCTGAGATATTTAACAATATAAATAATGTTCATTGTATAATTGATTTAAAATCAAAAAATATCAGCAAAGAATCCAAAGAAACTGCTATCGAAGAATTTTAAAATTTTATTTTTGAAGTTACATTGAAAATATTAAATAAAGATAAAAAATAATATATAAATCAAAATAATTATTTAGAAATCATAAAAGGTTTTAATACTTCTTATAAATAAGTTTCAGAATAAATTGAGAGTGATGGAATTATCATGGCTAATTTGGAAGATGAACTCAAAAAGTAAATAATTACAGAAAACGGATTTTATAGTATTACTTCATTTCCTTTACGTTCAATTCATTGGTAAATAAATAATTCAAAGGAAGAGTTAGATTAATTATTTTCATTAAAAGATGAGAAAAATAACAAAAAAATTACTTAAATTAAAGATAAGATAAAAGAATTAGAAGAATAAATTAAATCATAAAAACCGACAAAATTATTAAATTTATTTTGTGATTTATTTGAAAAGAAAAATAATTACATCCTTTATTTATCCTTTATAGATAAAATAAGATTATTTAATGAATAGAATACATATGTTATTTAAGATTAGATTTAAGTTCTTATTGAATCTATTTAAAAGTTAAAAAAAGAAATAAGTTCCTTGAAATAAAGTAATGATTAAAATCCTACAGATGAAGGGTTAAAAAAATTAATAAAAATGAAGGATGAAATGAAAAAATAAAATGATAAACTTTTATTACTAAAAAAAAATAGAGAATTTAAAAATATTGGTATTGAATTATTTTGGAGAGAATTGATATAAATGAAATAAAAATGCACTTAATAAGAATTGAGAATAAATCCAGTAGATGTAGTATTTGATATGATTAAAAAAGGAGAACCTTTTGAATTTTTAGATGGAGATTAATTAAAAATTGATTAAATGTTTTTACAATAATTAACAGATAAATTTTCTTAATCAGGAAATGAAAAAGTTTTAGTTTTAAGTGTTTTAGGTCCTTAGAGTTCTGGAAAATCAACAATTTTAAATAAAATATTTGGATGTCATTTTTGGACAAGTGTTGGTAGATGTACTAAAGGTATTTACCTTTAATTGATAAGAATTTCATAAAAATAATATTTTAATAATCTTTTTGATTACATTCTTATACTTGATTCTGAAGGATTACAAAATCCAAATTAATAAAATGATGAATTTAATAAAAAAATTGCATTATTTATTCTTTCTATTAGTGATATCATTTTAATTAATGTTAAAGGAGATATTCACTCTCAATTTAAAAATTTAGTTGAAATGTGTATATTTACACTTGGATAAATGAATAATGCTCTTGCAACAATTAAACAAATAAGTTGGTGTTTCAATTAAAATAATGATGTCAATTTTTTTTCATGTTTTTTACATTAAATCTAAGGAATTGCAAATAATTTAAATCAAGAATTCAATAAAACTAGTTAAGAAAGTTAGCACTAAAGTAATTAAGAGAATGAAAACTAAACAATTGATTATAATGAAGTTTTAGATATAAGAAAAGAAAATATATAGATTTTAGGATTTGCATCCTATGAAAGAGGTTGGAAGAATAAAGAATATGGTTTCGAAAAGATTTGGAGATAACTTATAAAAAATTAAACATTTTCAGAAGAAGCCTATTAATATGGAGTTAGAATTATTAAGAATTATGTACAAAAGAAATAATAAAGCAGCAATATGCCTAGTCTTCACTCATTCATTTAAAATATTAATTAAAATTGGTAAACTATATGTAGATCACCTGAATTACTTGAATTTACAGAACTAATTCAATACAAGTAAGATGAATTGATGAAAAAATAATTTACAATCATTTATGACAGATATGATTTTAATTTTAAAAATAATATTTAGGATGATATCAAAAGGTATATTGAAATTTAAAGAGATATAAATATGGAAACATTTAAATAACTTCAAAAAGAAAAAGAGTAAGCAATTATTGAATAATTTTCATAAATCGAAGATGAAATCATAATAGAATTGTAATAAATAAAAAAGGAATAGTAAATTTCAAAAAAAATATTGGTTAAATATGAAAATCGACTAAAGTAACAAATATCAACTGAAATAGAAGAGTGCAAAATGATAATTTTTAATGAAATCAAAGAACAAGAAACCAAATTATAAAAAAACAAAGGGTTTTTATAAATAGATAATTATATATCTTCAATAAGTGAAAATACTACAGAATTAAAAAAATTATAACAAAATGACAAACTAATTGGATAAAATTTTGAAGAAATTTGGAAAGAAATAAGTACGAATTAGATGAAATAAATGGAAGAGATATTTGAAGAGTTTTCATTAAAGTAGTATAAATTAATATTTGAAAGATTTAGTGTATATAAACTTAAATCAGATATGGAGAAAGATTATTAAAAATTTTTTATTGATAAAATTAATAAAAACTCGCCTTTTCAAAATTAATAAATTGAAAAAGAATAAATAGTGGAAATTTTTAAAAATGAATTAAAAAGTTATTAATTTGAAATATTTTAGGAGGAACTGTCTGGGAAAAATGAATGGAACAAATTATATTATGAGTTATATGATATTACTTTAATGAATATGAGATCAAATCAAAATAAATCATAAATATTCAACAATAATAAAAATGACAGCGATGATGAAATTAGCTCAATAGATATCAATTTAATATAAATGATCATGTCTAAAATTACGTTAACAGTAAACTCATATAAAAAATAATTTGCGAAATTTGGAATAATTTTAAATCATATTGGTGAAAGATGTATTTATTATTATTCAATGTTTCTAATTTGGAGATTCTCTTGCTATAATAAATGGAAAATGTTAAAAAAAAATTATGATACATTATAATAACATAAAAGTGAACAATTTACTAAATATAAAGAAGCAATCAAAAGTAATAAGGTTGAATAAAGTTAAATAAAAGCATAATTATTTGCAAGGATAATATATTAAACATTTATTCAAGAATATTATTAAAAGAAAAAAAAAGATGTTATAAACTTTATTGAAACTAAAAATAAAACATGTTTTGATATAATTAAAGAATAAGATAAAAGATTATTAGAATAGTATTAATCTAATTTTACTTAAAAATAAAAGGATGAGGTAATGTTGTATATTACTGATTAAAAAAATTTTATTGAAAATTATGCTAATTAAACAATATCAAATATCAAAGAGGAAATTACTAAAGATCATCAAAATAAATTAAAATAAGAATTACTAAATTACTTATTTGTTATTCACTACAATGTTAATCTTATTTCTACATAATTATAAACTGAGTAAAAATAAGGATTAAAAACAATAGATTATTTTGAAACCTAAGATAACCAGAAACTTGTAGATTATGAATTTGAATAAGAAATGTTTAAAATAGTAAAAGCCTGTATTTTCAAAGAAAAATACTAGAATCCATATGGAAAATCTATTAAGGATGATTATTAAGAATATTTTAATATTTCGAAATTCAAAGAGCTTTCGTCTAAAATAAATGTTATCATGCCTTCACCTTCAGATAATGAAATATAATAATTAAAGCCATATATATAAGAACTATTAAAGTAAATTACGAAATACCTTGATTAGAGTGAAAATGAGAGATTAAATATTAATAATTTTCAAATAGAAGGAACCATTGATAAGATAAAATTTCATATGATTGGATGTAGGTAATCTTGTCCGTTATGTAAAAGAAAATGCGATAAACCTATTGATTATAATAATTATAATCATAAACATTAATGTTAAAATGGACATCAATTAAGAGGTTTATTTTATTTATTATTTAGGTATGAATTTTGTATTAATTGATAATAAACCTTCATTATTTACTTGTGAAGAAATTACTGATGATATGTTGATTACCACTCAATAAACAAATAAAGTCAGATTTTGGAAAGAGATTAAATAAATATACAATGATTGGAATTTTAAGACTCTTATTCTATAGAATGATGTTAATCATTAAAAATAAGTAAAAGATAAAATGATGAATGTTTGGAATGGTGGTATTGGTTAATTGATATGTAATGTTTTATCAAATAAATTCAATAAAACTATAGCTTTTATAACAAAACATGATTTAGCTAAATATGAGTAAGATAAATCAAAAGTTCATTATATTTTTATGTTAGATGATTCATATTCTATGTAAGGTTAAGCATGGAATAATGCTAAAAATGGAGTTTTAACATGTATGGAGGAGATTGAAAAGAATCCAAATGCAAAAGTAAGTGTTATCATTTTCAATTCTAAAGCAAGAGTTGCAATAGATTGTGAAAAAGTTAATATTGATTCCTAATATGATAAAATAATGAAATCTGATGAATTATTCTTTTTTAGACATTGTAATATTGAAATAGCATTTTAATTAGTTTTTGATTAAATTTAAAAATATAAAAATTAGCAATTCGAAAGGTACTTAATTATTATAAATATATTTTAGAAACTTAATATTATTTTATACTGATGGTGGATATTCATATCCAGCATAGGCAATGGATAAATTGATTTAATTGCCATTAGACTAAAAAAAGAACATTTCATTGATTGCATGCTCTGAAAAAAGCAATCCAGCAACTTTATCTCTTATGGTATCAAATCTTAAAGAGAATGGATATGTAGCTGATCTTAGAGTTAATATTAAATTAGGAAATTTTTAAAAGGTATGGTCAGAAATTGTTTTGTAAGGAATCCATGTTTCAGATTGAATCTTATATAATATGTTCAATTATAAATCAAATAATATTTATTAACTAATTCGCTTATAATTTTCCACTATGATATTAGCAATGATATTTAATTAATTAAAATTTTTACACATTTAAGTATATATAAAAATTATTTTTTCATTCAAAAACAAACTAAGTTAGAAAATTAATAGAATGACAATGGATAATGATAATTTACAAGATAATTTTTGATAACTATTACGTCATGTAAAATATGTATTCTAAAAAATAAAACTTTTTTTGAGGCAAAAACTTTTTATTATTGTATTAAAAATTTTTTTAACTTGTTTTAATATAAAATTTATTGAATGGCTACCTTAGATTCTATTATTATTATTGATAGTAGTCTTTATGATAAGCTAGCTTAAGAATAGCAAACTTATTGCTAATAAATATTAAGTCAATCTATAACGCTTTAATTAATTAAAAAATCTTATGAATCATGATTTTATAAAGATATATGGTAAAGGGCAACAAAGAAACCATAGAATTATTTACTAAATTTTTGAATACGCTTATATTCCTAATATTGATAATAATAAACAATTTTTATGGTAAAGAGAATTTAAACTCATGTTTGAAGAAATCAATATTCAATTGGGCATCTAATTTTTTTATTATTCAAATTTTAATTTATATCTTCAGCCATTTTCTTTTTTAAACTTGAATATAATAAATAATCAATAATATTCTTACTATCTTTTACTTAAGAGCCTTATTGGTGGTAGATAAGTATAGTTAATATCATCTTACAATAAAGATTTAAATCTACAGAAGATGAACTTAAAATACTTACTTGTAAGATGGATTGCTAATTATGTTTTTGTCTATTTGCATTATAAATATTTTAGATCTTTTTAATATTTAAAGAGAATAAATCAATTCAACAACAATAATAAAGCTAATTTGATTTATATTATTATTGCAGTAAGTTAACAATTTATGTTATTTTAATTAAAATCGCATCCTCACAAATATTAAAATTACTAGACAAAACTATTTATTAACATAATTGATATATTTATATAGGCATATCATTCTAATGATTAGTGCAATATAGTAGTCTAATATAGAGTTTAACATACAGAGGCAAAATATAATTGATTATAAACTATAAAACGATATTACTTTTAATTTATATACAAAATTGTTATATTGCCATTTGTAGCTTAAATAGGATAAAAAAATATTTTTCTGCAAACTTAAGCTATATAAGTTCACTTAATTAAATTAATTTATTATTTATAAATATTCATTTGAATATAATCCTTTTGATTTATCCAAAAATTACAAAAAAAGGAAAAACAAAATTAATAATCATTTGTTTTTCCTAAAAATTTAATTTATTTCAATGGAGAACTACACTTTATAATAATATTTTACACTTTCATTTGACATTTATTTAGTCACTAAGATCATCAATAATTCTGATATAGGAAAACTGATAGTATTAATAAAATAATATTATTTAAGTCACTTCATCAATGAATGCAAACAAAAATATACCAAAAGTAAAGGTAAATAAAAGAAAAAAAGCCACACATAAATTACATAAACAGAAAAATTGAAATTGATATCTTTTTTAAATATAATAATATTTATAATGATATGAGCATACTTTTAGTACAATAAATAAAGTTCTAAAAGCAAAGTCATGATGAATATTTCATAGAATATTGGTGACTAATGATATTAATATTGAATTAATTACATTTTAAAAGATTGGATATCTGGTTAAAATAAAAAGATTCCAATAATTCAAAGCTCAAATATGGATTGACTCCAAATCTAAAAAATAATTGTAAAAATATAAAGATTATCAGTAATATTATTTATTTTATCAGAAATAACAGTAGAGCTCCAAATATATTGCTTTATATTTTAAAAGTTGTTAATTCTTCAAATAGAACTAATAATAAAAATGAGCTTCGAGTTTAATATAAAATCTAATTTATAAAACTATTCTTAATTTTAATATCGATCTTCCTATAATTATTATTGTTCTTCATTATTCATTAATTTATTCTAAAAAATATATTTTAAGATAGTATATTTTTATTGAATAATCTATTATTATTGATTTATTTATTTATCTTTAAATCAATAAGATCTCATTTATGCTCCCATTAATTTTATTATATAATTTAATTGATTGATATTATAGTTAAAACTAAGTAAAAATGCTTTATAATATAATTAGTTCTTAATTTAATATTTTTACAATTTCATTAATACATCTTTTAATACAAAAAGATAGAAATAATTTAATAAAGTATATAATCATATTATAATAAAGTGAAATTTAGAATAGTAATTTATTTTATTTTTGACAACTTATTTTAAGTGAATTTCTAAATTAAATGAACCATAAAGTCATATATATCTGCTTAATTTTTTTTAAAAAAGATAGTTGACTTGATAACAAAAATACACAAAGTTATTAGTATTATGTTAGATTAGATAGTAAGTTTAACAAGTTGCCTTATTTGAAGAAATACTTCCAACTCATAAGTTTGAAAAATAGTTCATGAATTCACATTGTTGAATCGAAACAAAAATTGAAAACAGTCTTTAATCAAGAAATATTGATATGACATTATCAAGAAAAGAAGTTATAATGTGTTTAGGGTATAATGAATAAAAGTATAAATATAAATCATATTCGCCAATCCTTTTCAAATAATAACCTGGGATAGAAACTTAATATACAGATTTTTCTAAAAATCGCATGGCCTCTATGTCAGAATAAACTTGGGAAATTCAACATTTGTTGTTGAATAGTTTTGGAAATATCCTAATCCTAATTCTAATTGAAAAATATTTACTTCATGTTATCTAAGAGAATAGAAAACTAATTCACCAGCTGATAGGTTAAAAGAAAGATTGTTAGAATATAAAGAAAAATGCAAATATATATCTATGATATTTGTTAAAAAATTTAGAATTAAATTTCTAGTATTAATATTATATACCATACTCAATTAAGATTGAGAGTGTTTTGTTACGTAAATTCTCAAATTTAAGGGAATGTTTTCAATAATATTTGATCATTGTAGTTTAAACTTAAAAATTTTTGATTAATTATTTTTCTCAAATTCATTAAAGATGTTATTTTTCTTTTTTTGTATAATATAATATATCAATGGTAATATTATTATATGTAAAATGAATTGATAATAATTAATTGTAAAACATATTTTAAATTTCTATTAACGAAAATTTGTGTCTTGTTTGAATTTAAAACTTCGATTCATATTTTTTATTATTAATAAATCATGTAAGATAATAAAATTTGTTACACACATCAGGAAATCATAAAATTTATTTGTATTAATCAACTGTGTGAGGATAGTGATACTCCACTTTGTAAATCATGTTTAACAAATAATCAACATTAAATATGTTAGGAGTAGAACTAAATTATCACAATTGATCAATTTATTAATAAAATAACAACATAGATAGATAAAAAAGTTTAATAAGAATAGATTCTATTAGATAATTTAAAAGAAACAAAAACTTAATTAATATAATTTTACGAAGATGTCAAAGAGTAATTTTTATTATATATATTTATTAGAGAATTTTTTTAAAGCAAATTGAATTCTATAGAGATAAAATAATAAGCCATATTATTAAGAATATTTAGAGATCCAATTTTATTAGCCTAAATTAAGAATAATAATTTTATTAGTTCTAATTATTTCTAAGAGAATATTGAAGTAGAAAAATAACCATTATCTTTTACAGATATTGATAAATCTTTAAATGAAATCAAAAATGTTAAGATTAGCTTGTAAACAAATCAAAATACACTTTCTAGTAGTTAAATTAATCAAAAAAACTAATCAGATATTAATTAGAAAATATAAAATAAGTAAAATAAAGAGACTCAAAAATGTAAATTACTTATTTAATCATAATAATTTGCAAAGGAAGAACAAGTAAATGAAAATTAAACATTTAATACAAATAAAGATTAATTTAAAAATAATCAAACTTATTATTAATAAAATGGAAGATAATAATAAGAATAATAAATAAAAATTTAAAGAATCAATTCAGATTATTAAAATTATCCAATTGACTCTGTATAATAACCATCAATTTAGAATTTTAGACGTTTATCTCAAAATCAAGATTTAATCGTAGAATAGGTAAATAAACCCCCTTTAAATAAAATATAATTAAAGTAGAAATTTGGAAAAAAGATTACATCAAATCCTATAGAAAAAATTCAGGCAATTAGCTAAAAAGAATTAATTACATATTCTGTTAACATGATCTATAATTTTGATATATAGGATCAGAAACAGCCAGCCTCTGTTTAAAATATGTAATATCCAATCATAGATTTGTTAATTGATAATACAAAAAAAATATTAATACATATGGAAAATTAAGTATTATTAGTTAGTGACAAACTATAAATTTTAGATAAAATTTAAAAAAGGATTTAAAAAAATCATATAACTATTTATTCACATGGTAAGATTTATTAAATATATATTTTTTAGATTCTAATACTAGCAATTTGATATATTATTATCAAGAAGAGAATTAATTTATAAGATACTAGATGACAAATAGCAAATTAACACGGTCGTCTCAAACTCCATTATAATCATCTGGAGGGAAACTATTATCGATTAAATTGATCAAAAGACGGACTCAAAAAGGAGGATCATCTTTTTTATTGTTAGTTGCATTTACAAATGGGCTTATACATGAATATGAAATGTTCACAATGAATAAAATAAAATAATATTAATTCTATTAAACAGAATACTCAATTATTTAATTAGAAGATGAATATTGTTTTGGAATTTCAGAAAAGAATCTTTATTTGATGAAATACTCTGAAGGTTCAACATAGAAAATTTGTACTTCCAAAAAAAATATTATTTAATGTGCAAGTTATGTTAATCAATAAAAGAATGAATATGAAATCTTAGTATTGCAATAAAATAATGTAAATCAATTGTATTAATTATAGAAAGTATATAAATATACAAAGAATGGAGATATAATCAATTAAAGACAAGCGAGAATTAATAATGTGACTTCTTTGTCATGTTATGTTGAATCTAATTAACCAATATTTTTTGTTGGATTCAAAGATGGACAAATTAATTGTTATGATCTAAATTGAATTATTTTATATTTTCTATTAAATATAAAAAATAATAATACATTTATTTATACAATTTTTATTCTTATTGATTTCGATCATTAATAAATTATATACCTAATATTTCATTTAGATGTTTCTTTTAATAAAGGATTATTCAAGAATTACCAACTTAAGTATATATAACATTCAATAATAATTCCAAGATGTTTAGTAATCACTAAAATTCAATATGTAAATAATTCATTTTACTCTCTTAAAATAATCCTTCTAAGTTATTATCATCTAGATTGAAACAATTAAATCTTGCTAATTAATCACAATATAAGAAATTTATACAACAAACTAAATATTTTTTGGTAAAATGTATTTTCAAAATAATATTAAATTTTTTGAGTTGATTTTTAGTCAGTGGATAATAAAAATATTCTATTAACAATATAGATGTTGATATTTTATATTGATATTCCAAAGATGATAGTGATCATTATTGTAAATGGTAAAAAGAATAATTAAAATTTAAGAAATGAGGTTATCTACAAATATGATATGTTTATCAGTGAAAAGTCCTTATAAAGAAGGTTCTCCATTTTGATACAGAAAAATGCTTTATATAAAAGTTAAAAAAAACATAAGACAAGATGTGTGATTTTGGTTTTTTTAACATACATAAATTAAAATATGAATAAATGATTAATATTAAAAATGGCATAATAAACTTTAGATGCAAATCTATTGTTAAAAACAGAAATTTTGAAAAATAAGATTACATTGGGAAGAGTATGAATAGTCATAATCTATAATAATCAATTTGAAACTTATTATCAAAAAAGTAATCTTGCAATCAAATAGCAATTAATAATAGTAGAAGTTCAAATTTATTAATTTAAGTATATAGATTAATAAATTATAAATTTTTTAACTTTATTAATACAAGGCCGTGCTATCAATAGATAAAGTATTTATTATACTTCAAATTCATCTTTCTTTATCGATAAGAATTAGATTATTACTCTTAATTTTCTGTTTGCCTAAATTTTAAAAATTTGATTTATTTATTATTTATACATTATACTTATAGTCAAAAATTGCCTTATAAGTTAATCTACCTGTATATTACAAAAATAGATAATGATAAATAAATATTTTATAATTTATTTGTATTTAAAATTATATTTATGCTCCTTCATTTTCTTTTTTGAAAAATAATAATAACTTAATTAACATAAGAGTTTCTTAAACCCTTCAATAATTTTAATTTTGATGCAATAGCAACAAATACTACTGATATGAAAAAAATAATTTTAAAATTGATCCAAAAAAACTAAAATCACTCGATTTATTTTAGAATTACTACTAGTTCTATAAAGCTTAAGTTTTATATTCTTAAACTAGTTTCAGCCTCTGTAATATGACTGCATAATCTATTAATCTTTTTAAATTTAATCGATGTTTGTTAGAGATATATAGTTTATCATTATGAGCAAAATATTTAATTCTTATTCATTTCCATATAAACAGTATTTGATCAAATTTATGAAAGAAAAGGAAAGTATCTAAGTATATAATGATCATTGTTTTAGGAACAATTATCAATTTTATCTTCTTAGTCTATATTTCTTAAATTAAATTAAATTAGATGTAAAAAACCATTCATAAATATCTATTAATTGAATGATTTTTATTTAATTCTTTGAAAATTGCAAATAATTAATGCTATTAAATTATTTAGTATTATGAAAGCCTTTTTAAACTATAGTATTGACTTTACTCTCTTAATAGACTCAAATTATTTTTTCCTGATTAAACATTCTAATTTTAGTTTTAAGATTTTAACTCTGCATCTATAGATAATTTCATTATATTATAGAATTCATTGTTATTGTTTTTATTTTACTATTAGCCAATCAATTTATTTTCTTAAATTCTATTCTATTGAATAAAAGCTGAAAGATTATCTCTTATACATAATATTTTACATAATAAGTAACAAGTTACTCTAAAATTAAAAAAACAAAATTTCTAAACAACATTTTTATTGGATATGTTGTCTAAGTAATAAATAAAAATTGACAAATAACAAAATTAACTAATTCATTTATTGATCCCAAAAATTTACATGGAAAATTAAATTTTATTCTTAACTTTTCAAAATGTATTAGCCAGAATAATTTTAAATCATTTTCAAAAATAAAATTGTGTTGTACCTTTATAGAACTGATATGTCCAGTTTTGTTCCTAAACATTAGATTTAATACATTTATTTGATTTATTTTTTTATTAAAATAAATAATAAAAATAATGTAAAAATACTATAGATATTTATAGTGNATACAAGGCCGTGCTATCAATAGATAAAGTATTTATTATACTTCAAATTCATCTTTCTTTATCGATAAGAATTAGATTATTACTCTTAATTTTCTGTTTGCCTAAATTTTAAAAATTTGATTTATTTATTATTTATACATTATACTTATAGTCAAAAATTGCCTTATAAGTTAATCTACCTGTATATTACAAAAATAGATAATGATAAATAAATATTTTATAATTTATTTGTATTTAAAATTATATTTATGCTCCTTCATTTTCTTTTTTGAAAAATAATAATAACTTAATTAACATAAGAGTTTCTTAAACCCTTCAATAATTTTAATTTTGATGCAATAGCAACAAATACTACTGATATGAAAAAAATAATTTTAAAATTGATCCAAAAAAACTAAAATCACTCGATTTATTTTAGAATTACTACTAGTTCTATAAAGCTTAAGTTTTATATTCTTAAACTAGTTTCAGCCTCTGTAATATGACTGCATAATCTATTAATCTTTTTAAATTTAATCGATGTTTGTTAGAGATATATAGTTTATCATTATGAGCAAAATATTTAATTCTTATTCATTTCCATATAAACAGTATTTGATCAAATTTATGAAAGAAAAGGAAAGTATCTAAGTATATAATGATCATTGTTTTAGGAACAATTATCAATTTTATCTTCTTAGTCTATATTTCTTAAATTAAATTAAATTAGATGTAAAAAACCATTCATAAATATCTATTAATTGAATGATTTTTATTTAATTCTTTGAAAATTGCAAATAATTAATGCTATTAAATTATTTAGTATTATGAAAGCCTTTTTAAACTATAGTATTGACTTTACTCTCTTAATAGACTCAAATTATTTTTTCCTGATTAAACATTCTAATTTTAGTTTTAAGATTTTAACTCTGCATCTATAGATAATTTCATTATATTATAGAATTCATTGTTATTGTTTTTATTTTACTATTAGCCAATCAATTTATTTTCTTAAATTCTATTCTATTGAATAAAAGCTGAAAGATTATCTCTTATACATAATATTTTACATAATAAGTAACAAGTTACTCTAAAATTAAAAAAACAAAATTTCTAAACAACATTTTTATTGGATATGTTGTCTAAGTAATAAATAAAAATTGACAAATAACAAAATTAACTAATTCATTTATTGATCCCAAAAATTTACATGGAAAATTAAATTTTATTCTTAACTTTTCAAAATGTATTAGCCAGAATAATTTTAAATCATTTTCAAAAATAAAATTGTGTTGTACCTTTATAGAACTGATATGTCCAGTTTTGTTCCTAAACATTAGATTTAATACATTTATTTGATTTATTTTTTTATTAAAATAAATAATAAAAATAATGTAAAAATACTATAGATATTTATAGTGTCTATGATAAAATTATAAAATTAAAAGGCTGTTTTCAAATAAAAGAATCTTATAAATCATTTGTGCTTTGAAGATTAACAATAATTATACTTTATTGATATTTATAGTTTATAGTGTTATTCATAATTAATAATTAGATTAATTTGTTTATTTTTGTACATATTAACTCTGATAGATATATTAAAAAATCAAAAAACAATATTTAAAATATGAAAATTATACATCTTTAGTGAGTTTTTTGAAACTTTTTATAGTTTTCCAATAAATATCTAAATCAGATTTATACCCTAAATAATGAAAAAATGCAATGCATATTAAGACTTTTCAATTTTTTCTTCATCAACCATTAGCATATATACATTTATTTATTCATGTTTTTTCTTTAACTTGAATTATTTGCAGCAAAGCAAAATCACATTTATAAATAAACTGTTTATATTTTATTTTGGACAACCAGTAATTGTTCATAAATCTTTTTCCCTAAAATAGCCAATATTATTGTCTACAACTCAAAAATAAGATTATATTTATCTCATTTTAATTTAAAAATATCAGATATCTTGATTAAGTTTTGACAAATTAAAAAAAATTTTGTAAAATGTACGAATCAATTTCAATAAGACTGAAAATTTTGGCTAAACATAACTCAAGCGATAGACTAATCAACCACTATATTATTAAAACATCTGACTAGTATATAAATCTTTTTTGAATATTCTTGTAATTATACCATAGATTATTTATAAATCAAAATTCAAAAAGAAATATATTTTTAATAACATTATCTTCAGATTTCTAAGTTAAAGCAGATAAATGCAAGGATGTTTTAAACGTAAATTTAAATTTATGAATTCTAAAAAATATACTTAAATATTTATTTAATAAGTAGCCAAAATTAAATTAGTATTATAAAACTAAATAAGAATTTAATATTTATTACAAAACATACATAACTTAGTTTTAATTTCTTTTGCCAAAATTAATGCAAATATATATATTTAATTCTTAATATAAGATTACAATTAATTTAAAAAAAAATAGGTGTGTGATATAATATTTATATTTCTTAATTTATTTCTATCTTATATTTATATAATTCTAAATAAATAATATTAAAAAACTCATATCCTTTTAAATAAGGATGATTAAGAAAAGCTAAATTTATTCAAATTTGTAAACTAGAGTCATTTTTTTCTTTTAAAATAAATGCATTTAGTTGATTTTCATCAGAATAATAAGCATTTTCTAAAACATCTCTAAATGATAATTTTTAGTCACCATCTCTATTGAATAACAGATATTTTAATATAATAAGAGTATTTTCAATTCCTTTTAGCCAAAATGAACTATTTGCAAAAGTCATATTGATACTCTCAATTTTAGCTATTTAAAATACTTCTTCTTAATGAGTAATAATCTCAAGCTCATTTGGAAGTTCTTCTGAAAATTTGATAATACTTTTTTGGAATTCAAGTTCCATTTACTCAAAACTTTCAAATTTAGATTAAATAAATTAATCCATTACAATAAACTAGAATTTAACTGTATCTTCTTCTTCTATATTAATATCAATCAAAAATTGATTTAATAATTTAAAGATAAGTTGAAAAACTTCTGGTATAAATGAAATATTATTTGAAAATTTGAAAAATGTTTTAAAGTTTTTGCATACTTATTCAATCTAAGAGATATCAATAGAATCAACTTATCTTTCTTCCAAATCTGAAACTATTTAAACACAAGCTGAAAAATATTATAAAAGTCTGTAAAAAACAGATTAAAAATGTAAATATTTTTCTATTTCATATTGTTATAGTTCGTCAATTCTTTGATAAATTAATTTAGTAGTAAAACCTAAAAATACTTTTTCTTATTTAATCTAATCTAGATAATTATGAAGTTTATCTTTAGTTTTTATTTATTTCTTTTTTTTTTAACACTTATTTCCGTCTTCCAATATTAATGATAGCATTTATTCTGAATATAATAATATATTTACAAATAAATTATAATATAGTCTTATTTTTTGGTTCTATTAATAAGGCTTAATTATAGCATTTTAAAGCATTTTGATATTATTTTAATTAATAAAAAGTATCTCCTAAGTGAATGTTAAATAAATAAATACCTTTTTCTAAATAAGCTTCTGTGTATTACTTATTAATTGATAAGACTTGATTAAAACTACTCAAAGAATCTTTATATCTGAATAAGAGTTTCAAAGTCTTCCCTGTATAAATAGTTAATAATTATAACCTTTATTCATGTATGCATCAGTATAATTTGGATCAATTAAAAGAGACTTATTATAATTTAACAAAGCATCATTGTATAATTTTAAATTAGTAAGAGTTATTCCTAATTATATATATATAATATTTTAAATTTACCTTTATTATAATAAGCCTAAGCATCTTTTGGATTAATTTTGATAGCTTAATTACAGCTTTCTAATGCTTCTTAATACTTATTTAATTTATTTAGAGTGAGAGCTATTCATATAATAAAATTTAACCTTTATTTAAATGGATTTAAGAATTGTTAGAAAAAATTGAAATAGCTATTTCGAAACATTCTAAAGCTTCATGATACGCTCCCAGATAATAACAAGTCATTCCTATTTATATTCAAATTTTAATATTACCTTTATTCAAAAAAGCTGTTTCATTATCAGGCTAAATAGATATAGCTTTTTCAAAAAAATATAAAGCATCTTGATATTTTTACAATTAATTTAGAGTAATTCCTTAAAATTATAATTATTAATTTATACCTTTATTTAAGTATGCTTGATCATAATTTTAATTAATTGAAAGAGCCTTATCATAACATTTTAAAGCATTTAAATGAAATCCTAGATTTTCATAAGCAAATCCTATTATAACTTTTAAATTTATACCTATTTATAAATGCACATGTTCATTATTTTAGTCTTTTGTAAGAACTTTATTCAAGCATTTGATTGATTCTTAATATCTTTTTAAACAATTTAAGGTATAACCTTATTATTAGAGCATTTAAGAAACCTTTACAGTAATAAGAATCCATATGATTAGGATTCAAAGATAAAACCTTTTCAAAACTTTTTACAGCATCTGAATAGCGATCCAAATAAAATAGACAACATCCTATGATTAATAAATTCAAACCTTTTAAATATTATGCATTAAGATAATCTGGTTTCATTGAGATTGCTTTTTCCAAATAAATTAAAGACTATTACCAATTCTACTGATCATAAGAAGTTTAACCTTTAAATTATTCTATATCATACCTTGATCATAGTAATCCTTGGCTGATTTTCGAACACTAGTCTAAATCATAAAATTATAAAATATATAAATTAAATAAATTACTTAAAATATTCTATTATTTAATAAGGTTTATATTCTCAATATATAAAAGATAGATAAAATACTTATAATCACCGATGTCATGCTTTTATGAAGTATTACAAAAATAATTGAACATACATTTTAACATTAATTATATAAATAATTTCAACTATATTTTAAATGCCACATTCTCTTTCAATTTAGTATCTACACTTAATTAAATTAATTAAAGTAAATTAACTATATAATAGTATGAGCTTATCTTAATTAATTATTTCATAATTTAATTTTTTATAATCTTTTCTAAATATCAAACAACTTAAATACAAATAAGTTTGCACAACATTAATCTTCAAATCTATTAAAAAGATTATTAAATCCAATTAGCAACCTCTAATACTTTTATTTATTGACCTTATATAATCAAAATATAATAGATATATATTATATACAATTAATGATAAATTTTCTACTATTTAATGTAGAGAAAGAAAAATACCCTACTTTATATTTATTTTGAATGATTTAAGAAAATATTCCTATAAATTATTAAAATTTTTCTATTTGTTACTTTTATTTTAAATCCTAAAAAAAATAAAGAGAATTAAATTTAGAATTTTTATGTGTAGAGATTAATATAAATGGAGCTGATAAATTTTTACTAATTTGATTTTTATATATTTCTTTTGTATTCTCTTATCATTCAATTGATGAGTAGTAAAAGAAGAAATTATATTTTTTTTTTTTTCTAAACTTTTCCAAAATAATATTTTTTTCATCTGTTACCAATTTATTAGTTAAAAATAAATTTTTTTTTTTNATTCAAACCTTTTAAATATTATGCATTAAGATAATCTGGTTTCATTGAGATTGCTTTTTCCAAATAAATTAAAGACTATTACCAATTCTACTGATCATAAGAAGTTTAACCTTTAAATTATTCTATATCATACCTTGATCATAGTAATCCTTGGCTGATTTTCGAACACTAGTCTAAATCATAAAATTATAAAATATATAAATTAAATAAATTACTTAAAATATTCTATTATTTAATAAGGTTTATATTCTCAATATATAAAAGATAGATAAAATACTTATAATCACCGATGTCATGCTTTTATGAAGTATTACAAAAATAATTGAACATACATTTTAACATTAATTATATAAATAATTTCAACTATATTTTAAATGCCACATTCTCTTTCAATTTAGTATCTACACTTAATTAAATTAATTAAAGTAAATTAACTATATAATAGTATGAGCTTATCTTAATTAATTATTTCATAATTTAATTTTTTATAATCTTTTCTAAATATCAAACAACTTAAATACAAATAAGTTTGCACAACATTAATCTTCAAATCTATTAAAAAGATTATTAAATCCAATTAGCAACCTCTAATACTTTTATTTATTGACCTTATATAATCAAAATATAATAGATATATATTATATACAATTAATGATAAATTTTCTACTATTTAATGTAGAGAAAGAAAAATACCCTACTTTATATTTATTTTGAATGATTTAAGAAAATATTCCTATAAATTATTAAAATTTTTCTATTTGTTACTTTTATTTTAAATCCTAAAAAAAATAAAGAGAATTAAATTTAGAATTTTTATGTGTAGAGATTAATATAAATGGAGCTGATAAATTTTTACTAATTTGATTTTTATATATTTCTTTTGTATTCTCTTATCATTCAATTGATGAGTAGTAAAAGAAGAAATTATATTTTTTTTTTTTTCTAAACTTTTCCAAAATAATATTTTTTTCATCTGTTACCAATTTATTAGTTAAAAATAAATTTTTTTTTTTTCCTAAATATTTCAATGTTTTAAGTTGAATCTGCCTAATAATATAATACTAGAGATGCTAATGGAAGATTTAAGCTATTAAGAAAATATTAAGCTGATAAAAATTAGGTCAGATATATAATTTAAAAAATAATTCAGTTTCAAAATATCTTAAATTTTCGTTCTGGTAATGATTTATTCAAAAATAAACTTAAAGGAAGTTGATGCAAAATAGTTTAATAAAGTTTAAATATACGTCAGTGAAGTATTTGATTTTTTTAAATTAACTTTAGATTTTTCTGTAATTTTATTAAAATAGAATTAAAATTTTCAGGTATATACAGACATTTCAATTCTATAAATTGATAAGGTTTTTTCTAGTATTGAATGTTGATTTAATAGGAAGAGATTCTCCGTTTAACTATTTATTAGTTATTATACATAATTATAGCATGAACCTTATTATAAGTGTTTTACAATTTTTTAAGATGCAATGAACATTATCAATTCTTCAAATTTATATCTGAAAATAACTATAATAAATTATGTATCATATTGAAGACAATTTAAGTTTATAAGAACTTTTAGTTTTGCTAAAATTGCTTGTTTAAATATTAGAGAACTATAATAAATTACAATTGAATTTAAAGAGTAATTGTAAATTATAAAATTGCTATTGAGAGAAAGTTTATTTTGGTATATATGTTGAGATGTTTTTCTTAGTTAGAAAGAATTTATAGTAGGAGTCTTCTATTTCCATTATCACATTTTTCATCCATAAAATTTTTATTTTCTTCTGAGCTTTAATTGAAAACTGTATTATTTATAAATTATATCAGTATTAATATTATGGATAAAACCATATTTCACATTCTAAACAATTTTCAGTTTGACAAAACATTTATTTTGCATTAATATACTACTTTACAAATTCTTTAGTGTGTGATTCTAATAATATCTATATGCATATCAATTACATTTCCATGAATAATCTATCCATAATATTCTATCAATTTCTCTTCTTTATCTAATTCATCCACTTTTACTAATAAAGATTGAAATATCTTTAAATGAATCTTAACTAAACTGTATTCTTTTTGTATTATTAAGTAAGTAGACTATTAAATTATTTTATTTAATTTTGTCCATATTAATCTTAAGCTTTTTGAACATAACTCAAAGAAACTTATTTATTGTTTGCTATATTTCTTTCATCTTTAATTAATACTTTCTCTACTAAAGTTCTTTTTCACTTTATTAATTTCTTATCCTGTTTCTATTAGATTAGATGCATCATTAAAAATAGATGAATAATA